CGGAGGCCCGAGGCCGTCTTGGCTCCCGCACACCCTGCTTCAGGCCCTGGGCGGAGGCCCGAGGCCGTCTTGGCTCCCGCACACCCTGCTTCAGGCCCTGGGCGGAGGCCCGAGGCCGTCTTGGCTCGCGCACACCCTGCTTCAGGCCCTGGGCGGAGGCCCGAGGCCGTCTTGGCTCGCGCACACCCTGCTTCAGGCCCTGAGCAGAGGCCCGAGGGGCCCCAGGCCTTGCCACACTGGGTCTCCGTCTGCTGTCAGCCCCCAGGCGTGAATGAAGCGACAGAGGGGCTCATCTGACAAGCTGACACGGGCGCCCTGGGGGTCAGGGACCTATAGCAGGGCGCTGAAGGGTGAACAGGAGTTTGCTGGATAGAATAGGGCATCAGGGGGAGAGAGAAGGGCACAGGCAAAGGCGAGGGAGGACTAGAGGTCCAGCCTGGGGCAGAGCCCGGGGTGGGGGTGGGTAGGGAGGAGCAGAACTGGCTCGAAGACGGTTGGGACCAGCCCCTGGGCAGGGTCTTGGTGGCATGCTCTCAGGCTGGGTTCCATCGGGGCTGGGCCCTGGACACGTGACCTCGGAGATGCCTTTTGGGTGAGGGAGACGGAAGCCATTCCATGAAGGGACTGGAGTCCGAGGGGAGATGCACGTGGAGGCCCCAGGGCTTCCACGGTCTTCAGACCCCCGGGTTAGGGCTAGGGTTAGCTTCCTGGGAGGAGGGAAGACAGACGAACCTCCGAGCTTAGCGGGCCGGGCGAGGCCGGGGCGCGGCCAGGGGCCCGGCAGAGCCGGGAATGGGGCGGATGGGGGTGGGGGGCGTGGTGGAGCGGGGGTGGGGCCGGGGGCGGGGCAGAGTCGTAGGCGTGGCCTGAGCCAGGGGCGTGGCGGAGCCCGTGGGGGAGTGCAGAGCATCTGCCCGGCTGGGTTTCCTGCTCCTGCATCAGGCCCCTCCTGCTTCTCCCCCAAGTCAGGAGGGCTCTTTCCATCGAAGCGTCCGGTGGGGTCTCTGCACGGGCTACCGGGGTCCCAGAGCCCCTGCGGACCCCACTGCGGTGGACCGTTCCTCCCGCCGGGCTTCAGTGCGGCCGTTTTGCTGACCTGCGGTATTGCCAGTAGGACAGAGATGCTCTGCTCAGCCCTCCGAGGTCGTTAATTTATACAAGCCGGCGGCTTCATCAGAGAGGGTTGTCGCTGGAACGTTAACAAACCATAAATACCTGCCGGGCCCGAGAAGGTGACCACTCCATCTGCCTTCCTGGGGCAGGAGGGGCGCTTCCTGGGGGCTCGGTGTCTACCTGGGGGGCTGCCTGCTGCAGGAACAACACGGATCTGCGGAACCGGTCGAGGCAACAGCTCCTCTGGGCTGCCCTGCCCCGGTCCTCCTCTGTGGGGAAGAGGCCCTGGTCTTCCCCCTCCCTGGGGGCCTGGGCCTGGCCCTCTTCTAGGGGCCTTAGCTGAGAGCAGGCAAGGACGCTTTGCCGGAGACCTGCGAGTTCTCCAAGCCCCTAGGCCAGGCCAGTATTCCAGGCTGGGCTCCACGGTGGCGGGCACCCCTGCCTACCTCATCCTTTGGTTCAGGTCGCTAGCGTCGGCCTCTGCAGTGACCTGAATCCTCGAGCGCCAGGCTTCTTCCTAAGATGCCTTTCCTGGAGGGGACAACATGCCCACTTCACTCCAGCCTGGCCGTCAAACTGGGTGACGCCAGAGGTGTCTGGGTGATACATCGCGGAGGAAAGTAGGGGGCCGGGGGCCTCCCCGGGCCTGCGCCCTTTTCCTGCGCCTTCCAGAGCTCTGGCCAGCACCAGTGCGGGGCTGGGCTGCACTGACTGGTCCCCGGGGGCTCCCGGCATGGGGCTCCTTCCCTCCTCCGGGGACCCTGGCCGAGCACCCTTCCTGGCGGGCGGTTCGAGGACTGGCGGGTCTGATGCTCCCGATCCTGACAGAGGAAGGGGTCGAGGAGGTCAAGAGCAGACCGCCAGTCTCTTTCCCCGGCTGTTCTGGAACCCAAGGCTGGCACCGGCGTGGTGCCACCTGTCTTATGCCCAGAGGCCGCAGACCAGCCACGAGGGGGCCAGAGACCTAACACACCTTCTCTAACACCCCAGTGACTGAAATGGTATGAAATTGTAAATTATAACAGACTCAGAGGTCAATGAAATAGCAATTTCGGCTCTTTTTTAAAGAGCTACTCACTTCAGGGTGTTTGCATGTCTGCGAATTCCATCACTGGGCGGGTAGAAGTTGGTGACAATTCATATTTGACTCAGCGCATGACTTCTTTTAAAAAACATACAATAAATGAACGCTTCTGTGTGAAAAGCTGGTGGAGAAGGTATTAACTCGGGAGCATGACTCAGAGAGCTAATTACTCAGCGATGGGATCACCACCAGTCCTGCTTCAGGGTGTGTGGCTGGTTTCTCTAACTGGCTCGTCTCGTCTGTCTCCGAGGCTGGCCTGGTACCAGCCCGGTTCCTGGATGAGGAAACAGAGGCCCCGAGCAGAGCGGCACAGGGTCACGCAGCTGTTGTGTGCTGGGGTCAGACCTGGACTTGGGCACCTGGCCCCAGAGTGTGCCCTGCCGCCCCCCAAACCTGTGACTCCAGAGTCTGAAACTGGGTCCCCCTTCTCAGCAAAAAGCGAACTGAGTCAGAAGTGTAATTATTCACTTGTAAATTACATACGAGGAAGTGCATTCTGAGAGCTTTCTACTGAAAGTGAGAAACTTTGAAATCAAGAGGTAACATATTGCTAAAGTAATAGTAAATCGCATTCGATCAACATTTTGTTTTTGCTAAAATATTATTAAACATCTTCTTTAAGTGAGTGCAATCTCATTGTATGTCTCTATCTTGGGGGAATCCTGGCTGAGAATTGTGTGATGCAAAAGTCTGGTTCTAAGCCTGGCCGCTTCTGTGCTTGGTTTTGATGACATCAGTGATGATGGTTTCACAGAGCATGGTGGGCCCGTGGAGGTGAACTCCGCCACATCCGTGAGGTCCTCGCGAGGACATGGCTGGTGCACGTTCCACCTTCCCTGAGACGTCTGTGCTTGTTCTTTGGGACACGCACACACACGCACACTGCATGCACATGTGCAGTCATGTACACGCACACAAATATGCTCAAACACCGAAACTTTTCATGTAAAAGATTTTTTCCACATGTTAGAAAATATCTTCCAGACTGTTTTAAGTGGGTGGGTATGAATTTTATAGACATGTGAACATACGACAATGCAAACATTCCCAGAACCATTTTCAGAGTATGTCTATAGCTCAGAAGATCCGTGTCTGTCTCTGTCATTGTCAAAGCTGTCACCCTGACCGGAGGGACTCCTGATCCCTCTACATGTCTGCAGGGTGGCACATGCAGGGTGGGAAGGTCACCAGCCTCGTTCCTCTTGGAGAAGCCGAGGGGCCGTGTCGCTTCCGGCTGATCTGACCATAGGCTGGGAGACCTCTGTGTGTACTGAATTCTTTGGGTTCACGCCTGATCTAAGTCAGCCATCCCAGGCACCACTGGGATTTGAACTCAGGAGCTCCTGTGTACTAGACAAGTGCTTTAACCAGCAAAGAAATTAAAAGATGCTTGCTTCTTGGAAGAAAAGCTATGACAAACCTGTGCTGCGTTTCGTGGTTCGGACGTGTCTGACTCTTTGTGATCCTGTGGACTGTAGCCTACCAGGCTCCTCTGTCCATGGGATTTCCCAGGCAAGATTACTGGAGTGGGTTGTCATGCCCTCCTCCAGGGGATCTTCCCAACCCAGGGATTGAAACCAGGTCTCCTGCACTGCAGGCAGAATCTTCATCTGAGCCGCCAGGGAAGCCCATGACAAACCTAGACAGCATATTAAAAAGCAGACATCACTATGCCAACCAAGGTCCATCTAGTCAAAGCTATGGTTTTCCAGTAATCATGTGTGGATGTGAGAGTTGGTCCATCAAGAAGGCTGAGTGCCACAGAGTTGATCCTTTTGAACTGTGGTGCCAGAGAAGACTCTTGAGAGTCCCTTGGACAGCAAGGAGATTCAACCAGTCCATCCTAAAGGAAGTCAACCCTGAATATTCACTGGAAGGACTGATATTGAAGCTGAAGCTCCAGTACTTTGGCCACATGATGTGAAAAGCTGACTCACTGGAAAAGACCCTGATGCTGGGAAAGATTGAGGGCAGAAAGAGAAGGGAGTGACGGAGGATGGGATTGTTGGATGACATCACCGACTCAATGGACATGAGTCTGAGCCAACTCTGGGAGATGGTGAGTCATCAGTGCTTACCCCTCAAGCTTTTCTGAAAAACAAAAACAAAAAACAAAAAACACATTATTTTTCTTAAAATGCCCCCCAAAAGCACCTTTGAGAATATGTCCTTTCTGCAAATCTGTCCTTTACTGAGCAGCCCAAGGCTAGCTTCTTATCACTATGGAAACGGTGCCTACCCGCACCACCCCTCCCCGAGCCACGCACCCACACCTGGACTGGAGAGGTGGGCTTTTCTCTGGACACCTGCTTTTCATCTTTTGCCAAAAAACCCCAAGTGTCTTGGGATATTGATCATGATGGAAACCGTTATCCCCTGGGGTGATGGGTGTGACTTGAAACATTGTTGAGAAACTTAAGAGCACTTTTCCTTTGTTTTCCTGGTTTAAATGCGTCAGTCTGGCTGGCTCCACCTGTGTTAGGCCAGGACACAGCCTCCAGCCCAGGAGGCAGAAAATCCAGGTTCAGAGTCCTCCCCCACCCCGCTGACCCCTGCTTACCCCATGAGGTCTCGTCTGGGGCCTCCAGGGTGGACGGACAGACTGCCTCCCCTCCCCTCCCCTCCCCTCCCCTCCCCTCCCCTCCCCTCCCCTCCCCTCCCCTCCCCTCCCCTCGCCTCCCCTCCCCTCCCCTCGCCTCCCCTCCCCTCCCCGCTTCTTGCTGTGCTAAGATTACTTGCTTTTCAACCTGTGGTTGCCCCTGTTTTCAGGGGTCTTTTTAAACCTCTGCTCCGTGTGGTTTAGGCAACACGCGGCATGCTCCCGCCGTAGCGCCCCACGCTGCAGGCTTCGGCGGGTGGCCCATGTCACCATGGGCCCCTCCTTCCACCAGGCTTGTGGCGTGTGACCCGTGTGACATGGGCGTGAGGCGGGCCCGCCCCTTCGCTCACCCTGACGGTGTTTCCCCGGTGCCCCTGTCTCGAGCGGTCCTGAGCACCCCGGGGGTGCGCCCGGCTCGGAGACCCGGCCGGCCGGGGGAGGGGAGACGGAGGAGCAGTGTCTGCTCTCGGTTTGGTGGGGGCGCCCAGCACCCCCGCCCCGCCCAGCTGGGGAAGGCGCACGGAGGGGCCGCAGTGAGTGGTCCGGGCCTGGGCCGGCTGGGTGGGGGGGCCCTCTCCTCTCTCCTGTGTCTCCCGGACCCGCATCGGGTGCGTCCCCCCGGCCCTGCTCCCACTCCTTCTCCCCCAGAGCAGTGTCCCAGCCTCCCTCCCAAGGCTACCCACGCCGATGCCCAAGGGCTCACTCTGGAAGGCACGTGCGGCCTGTCCCCAGCGGGCGGCCCTCAGGGTGGTTGGGGGCGTCGCTGGAGCCCAGCGCCCATGTGGGAACCCCTCCTTGGCCGGCGTGGGCAGCCCTGCGGTGTCCGGTCCAGCAGGACGGTGACAGGCCGTGAAGAGGCCCCCAGGGGCGCTCAACCCTAGGGCGGGGCCGCCTGGCCCGAGGGTCTGGGGCGATCTGGTCAGACTCCTCTTGGAAAGACCCAGATCAGCAGGGCAAGGCTCTTGGCCAGACCGTCAAGAAGGCCGCACGTTGCTTTTAGTGACTTTCTGGTTGCCTTTCGAGACCACTTCCTCCACTCCCTGGAGATCCAGTCTTTTTTTTTTTTTTCCATTTATTTTTATTAGTTGGAGGCTAATTACTTTACATCATAGCAGTGGTTTTTGTCATACATTGAAATGAATTAGCCATGGATTTACATGTATTCCCCATCCGGTCCCCCACCCACCTCCCTCTCCGCCCTATCCCTCTGGGTCTTCCCAGTGCACCAAGTCCGAGCACTTGTCTCATGCACCCAACCTGGGCTGGCGATCTGTTTCACCCTAGATAATATACATGTTTCGATGCTGTTCTCTTGAAACATCCCACCTTTGCCTCCTCCCACAGAGTCCACAAGTCTGTTCTATACATCTGTGTCTCTTTTTCTGTTTTGCATATAGGGTTATCGTTACCATCTTTCTAAATTCCATATATATGTGTTAGTATACTGTAATGGTCTTTATCTTTCTGGCTTACTTCGCTCTGTATAATGGGCTCCAGTTTCATCCATCTCATTAGAACTGATTCAAATGAGTTCTTTTTAATGGCTGAGTAATATTCCATGGTGTATATGTACCACAGCTTCCTCATCCATTCATCTGCTGATGGACATCTAGGTTGCTTCCATGTCCTGGCTATTATAAACAGTGCTGTGATGAACATTGGGGTGCACGTGTCTCTTTCAGATCTGGTTTCCTCGGTGTGTATGCCCAGAAGTGGGATTGCTGGGTCATATGGCAGTTCTATTTCCAGCTTTTTAAGAAATCTCCACACTGTTTTCCATAGTGGCTGTACTAATTTGCATTCCCACCAACAGTGTAAGAGGGTTCCCTTTTCTCCACACCCTCTCCAGCATTTATTGCTTGTAGACTTTTGGATAGCAGCCATCCTGACTGGAGTGTAATGGTACCTCATTGCGGTTTTGATTTGCATTTCTCTGATAATGAGTGATGTTGAGCATCTTTTCATGTGTTTTTTTTGCCCTCTGTATGTCTTCCTTGGAGAAATGTCTGATTAGTTCTTTGGTCCATTTTTTGATTGGGTCATTTATTTTTCTGGAGTTGAGCTGGAGGAGTTGCTTGTATATTTTTGAGATTAATCCTTTGTCTGTTGCTTCGTTTGCTATTATTTTCTCCCAATCTGAGGGCTGTCTTTTCACCTTGCTTATAGTTTCCTTTGTTGTGCAAAAGCTTTTAAGTTTCATTAGGTCCCATTTGTTTATTTTTGCTTTTGTTTCTAAAATTCTGGGAGGTGGGTCATAGAGGATCCTGCTGTGATTTATGTCAGAGAGTGTTTTGCCTATGTTCTCCTCTAGGAGTTTTATAGTTTCTGGTCTTACATTTAGATCTTTAATCCATTTTGAGTTTATTTTTGTGTATGGTGTAGAAAGTGTTCTAGTTTCATTCTTTTACAGGTGGTTGACCAGTTTTCCCAGCACCACTTGTTAAAGAGGTTGTCTTTTTTCCATTGTATATCGTTGCCTCCTTTGTCGAAGATAAGGTGACCATAGGTTCGTGGATTTATCTCTGGGCTTTCTATTCTGTTCCATTGATCTATATTTCTGTCTTTGTGCCAGTAGCAAACTGTCTTGATGACTGTGGCTTTGTAGTATAGTCTGAAGTCAGGAAGGTTGATTCCTCCAGTTCCATTCTTCTTTCTCAAGGTTACTTTGGCTACTATAGGTTTTTTGTATTTCCATACAAACTGTGAAATTATTTTTTCTAGTTCTGTGAAAAATACCGTTGGTAGTTTGATAGGGATTGCATTGAATCTATAGATTGCTTTGGGTAGTATAGCCATTTTGACAATATTGATTCGTCCAATCCATGAACACGGTATATTTCTCCATCTGTTTGTGTCCTCTTTGATTTCTTTCATCAGTGTTTTATAGTTTTCTATGTATAGGTCTTTTGTTTCTTTAGGTAGATATACTCCTAAGTATTTTATTCTTTTTGTTGCAATGGTGAATGGTATTGTTTCCTTAATTTCTCTTTCTGTTTTCTCATTGTTAGTGTATAGGAATGCAAGAGATTTCTGTGTGTTAATTTTATATCCTGCAACTTTACTGTATGAACATAGATGCAAAAATCCTTAACAAAATTCTAGCAAACAGAATCCAACAACATATTAAAAAAATCATACACCATGACCAAGTGGGCTTTATCCCAGGAATGCAAGGATTCTTTAATATCCGCAAATCAATCAATGTAATACACCACATTAACAAATTGAAAGATAAAAACCATATGATTATCTCAATAGATGCAGAAAAAGCCTTTGACAAAATTCAGCATCCATTTATGATTAAAACTCTCCAGAAAGCAGGAATAGAAGGAACATACCTCAACATAATAAAAGCTATATGTGACAAACCCACAGCAAGCATCACCCTCAATGGTGAAAAACTGAAAGCATTTCTCCTGAAATCAGGAACAAGACAAGGGTGCCCACTCTCACCACTACTATTCAACATAGTTTTGGAAGTTTTGGCCACAGCAATCAGGGCAGAAAAAGAAGTAAAAGGAATCCAGATAGGAAAAGAAGAAGTGGAACTCTCTCTGTTTGCAGATGACATGATCCTCTACATAGAAAACCCTAGAGACTCCACCAGAGAATCACTGGAGATCCAGTCTTATCTTACTTACTCTTATCTTATCTTACTCTTCTGGAGATAATACAGAGGCTTTAAAATATGTCCACCAAGTTCTTATGTCTCTTCCCTTCGAAAGATGGAGCCTAATCTTCTCCCCCAAGTGTGGCCGGACTCAGTGACTTCTGATGACCGGGATACAGCAGAGACGGCGGTGAGCTGCAGTGTCCCAAGCCCTCACGCTGAGTCCCTCGTCCCGGGGAAGTCAGCTGCCCTGTGAGGACCCCTTGCCAGCCCCTGGAGGGGCCGCCGTGGTCAGGGACTCAGGCCTCCCGCCATCAGCACGCTTAGAAGTGGAACCCCAGCTCCAGGGGCGTTCGGAGTGGGGGGCAGCACCCCGACCCTGAGCCAGGACCCCCAGCCCAGCTGCTCCTGCCCCTCAGACCTGGTGAGAGACAAACCTCTGCTTTGCCTTCAGGTGCTGAATTTGGGGATAATTTGTTGCAATAGGAGGTAACAAATACAAATAACCACAGATGAGAGTTCTTGTCAGCAGCCCAGAGCTGGGCTGAACCTGGTTTAACCTCCCCCCACCCCCACAGGGAGCAGAGTCCTTCGTTACTGTCTTTTCCGGACGAAGGAACGGAGGCACAGAGGGGTTGAGAAACGTCCCCCATCACGCTGCTGATGGCGGAGGGCCTGGCGTTTGAACCCAGGTCTGCCCAACTCCATTTTTTGGCCATGCCATGCGGCATGTGCAATCAAACCCCGACCAGGGTTTGACCCTCGGCCCCCTGCAGTGGAAGGGCAGAGATCTGACCACTGGGCCACCGGGGCGTCCTCCCAGCCTCCACTAGTGACGCCTTAATCCTGTGCCGGCCACGCCCGCCCCCGCCTCCCCCGGGACGCAGGCCCGCCTTCCGCTGCCCAGGAAGCTGGGGGTCACCTCTGGGGAAGGCGTCTGAGACGGGCCCAGAGTGAGAGCCGCCCTCCCGGGGCGCAGGCTGCCTCGGAAGGGAAACATCCCCCGCTGTGTCGGGCCCTGGTTTCCCTGCCCAGCACGGCTGGGCCTCAGTGCTACCCTCTCGGAGATGCGAAGAGAATCGCGGCTGAGTCTTGTCACAGGGCAGCTCCGGAAACCAGAGGAAATGAGGGGGCTGGCGGCTGACGGGGAGAGGGCGCCAAGCTCTCCCGGCCAGGGTGTGAGCCTGGCCCCCCTCCCCGTCTGTGAACGGCCACCTCCGGACAGACCCGTCCCCACGTGGGTGTCACCACGGGGCGGGAAAACGGACGGCAGCCTGATAATAAGCCAGGCGCCCGCGCCTGTCGGACTGTCTGAAAAACAAAAGGCGCTGAGGTCTCCCCAAAGGTCAAGCCCGCCTGTCTCGGGAAGCGGGGAGCGGGAGGCCCCACCCTCGCCCGCTGCCGCCGCCGCCCCACCTGTCCCGTCTGTCTCGAGGGTGGCCTGTTTCCTCCTGAAATTTTCGGTGTCTAGGCATTTCTCAGCGCAGCCACTGCTTTTATTTGTTCTGTGTGATTTAATGTGTTTACCGTCCTGCTTTTCAAATGCCCCCTCCCTCCATCTCCGACATCTCTTCCCCTGGACGCCCCGTTAGCTGAATCAGACGCTGCAGCCGCTCAGCCCTCCCTCTGACGACGGCCCGGCTGCCTCGCATCCTCAGGGGGAGCCGTTCGAGGGGGTGGCGTTTCCTTCAGGAGAGCGGGTGTTCGTGGAGGGGCCGGGGTCCTCGGGGCGGCCGCGCTGGGATCCGCCCAGCACCGTGGCCTGGCGGGGGCAGCCGGCACCCTCTCTGCTAGGCTCATCCCGCACCGTCTCGCCCGCTAAAATGGTCCCCACGTGGTCCGTTCATGCCGGGAGAGGAACAGTGGCCCCTTGTGTGTTCTGGAACTCTCCGAAGCCTGGGGGCGGAGGGGGGAGGCAGGGGGACAGAAAGACAGGAATTGGACGTCGGGACTGGGGGAGGTTCAGGGACGGGTCGCTGGGCTGCCTGGGGGCCTGGTGTGGATGCCCTGTGTTGGGGACAGTGGCCAGGGCCCCCTCCCCTTCCACAATGGCTAGTCGTGGTGGTCGTCTCGGAGTCCACCTGACAGGAGAGTGGGCACAATAGGTCATTGCTTGAAGTCGCCAAGTTTGAGGGGTCTCTTTATGCAGCAGCAGGCGGCCAGAGTCTAGGAGTCATGCGGCGACCTCTGAGAAAGGCTGTCCCAAGCGGAAGGACCAGCTGGTGCAGAGGAGCACGTACGGGCTCATCACAGCCTCTAACCACAGCCTGACCCTGTGCCCGCCCCCCAGGCAGTGAGGAGACACAGTGTGTGTCGCTGGTGTAAATGCCAAGATCTTCAAATGGGTGTGAGTCCACGTCGACTTGGATGCCTGAGGATCTGGGGCCTTACCTTAAAGCCACACGATTCATCGAGAGGTCGGAGTTGGGGTCTCTCTTGGGCCTGGAGGTACAGGAATGTCGGGCTCGCTCGCCGCTGCACCCTGGTCTCCACCGGGGCTGACGATGCTTATTCTGGTTCTGGCCCGAGGAGCCGGGCACCAGGTGGGACTCGAGGCCCTGCCCAGTGTCTGCCCCTTCCTGCCGCTGCCCAGGGACCTGACAGTGAGTGTTAGTTGCTCACTCGTGTCTGACTCTTTGTGACGCCATGGACTGTAGCCCCCCAGGCTCCTCTGTTCCCTTCTCCAGGGAATCTTCTCGATCTGGGGTTAGGACGTGGGTCTGTCACATTGCAGGCAGACTTTTTATCGTCTCAGGCACCAGGGGAGCCCGGGGACCCGAATGCTCCCAATTCCTGGATCTGATTTCTGATTACATTCTAGTCGGCGGAGCTTTCGCTGGAGTGAAGAGGTGGGGCATGGAAGTGAGGGTGCTGAGCCAGGCAGCCCAGGGATGGACGGTGGTGGGCCCCAGGCCCCTTCCAAGGATGCAACTCCCCTCCTTGGGCTTCCTAGGTGGCTGAGTGGTAAAGAATGCCCTTACCAGTGCAGGACTCGCAGGAGACAAGGGTTCAATCCCTGGGTCAGGAAGATCCCCTGGAGTGAGAAATAGCAAGCCGCTCCAGTATTCTTGCCTGGAAAATTCTATGAACAGACTAGCCTAGTGGACTGCAGTCCTTGAGGTCGCAAAGAGTTGGACGCAACTGAGCGACTGAACACACACACACACGCACACACACACACACACACACGTGCACGCACGACTTCCCTCCTTGGCTTTGTTACACGTCTGGGTCAGTCCTGGAAACACATGATCTTGCCCTGGGGCCTGCTGATTGATTCTGGAGTGGGCGCTTGAGCGGCGCTCTGCCAGTGAGTGTCTTCCCCAGAGGCTTTGGAGCCGGAACTGAGAAGATGAACCTGACGTTTCGTGGCGTGCCTGCGGAGGAAGACGCACAGCACAGGAGCTCTCAGGGCCGTGCTCTGCCCTTGCGGGTCTGAGGATGCTCGGGCAGAGGTGGGGAGGCGTGAGCCGGGGAGACACATGTGTGAATTTCCAGTTCCTTCTGTTCTGAGCTCCACCCCGAGTCTTCTTCTTGGGTCCTGAGAGACATCCCAGAGTCCTCACAATAGATTCATGGTTTTCAAGCTGGGTTGAATTGGGTTTCTGTTCCACGCAACCCAAAGGGTCCTAATCAATAAAATATTAACACGTATTTCTACCAGCTCTAAGAGTTCATCAGTAGCCATAAATTACCACTTGGATGTGACAAGACATTTGGCACAATTTTATTGCAATCATTCAGAATTTTGAGCTCTAGAATGTTATTAATTTTCTTTCACATTATAGCAATTACTTTAGGAATGTTATGTGCCTTCTATTTGGGGAATTATTTTCTAACAACGGCATTAAACCTCATTTTCTCAGCAATTATTTGGACATAACTTCTGTTTTAATTGTCTGCTCACCCTTGTTTCTCATGCCCCAGTACCACCCCTGTCTTTTTCTCTCATTCTACTGGATGCTACACCACGATTATTCTTTTTTCCAGGAGGACAGCTTGAGATTATTCTCTGAGTCCCTGAAAATAAGGTCTCTACACAATGGAACTACATTTTGTCTGGGTGTGGAATTTAGATTTGAAATCCTGTCTCTTTAAAACTTTGCAGCTATTGCAGATGACAAGTTATGACCAACCTAGATAGCATATTAAAAAGCAGAGACATTACTTTGTCAACAAAGGTCAGTCTAGTCAAGGCTATGGTTTTCCCACTAGTCATGTATGGATGTGAGAGTTGGATTATAAGGAAAGCTGAGCGCCGAAGAATTGATGCTTTTGAACTGTGGTGTTGGAGAAGACTCTTGAGAGTCCCTTGGACAGCAAGGAGATCCAACCAGTCCATCCTAAAGGAAATCAGTCCTGAATATTCATTGGAAGGACTAATGTTGAAGCTGAAACTCCAATACTTTGGCCACCTGACGCAAAGAGCTGGCTCATTTGAAAAGACCCTGATGAAGGCAAGATTGAAGGCGGGAGGAGAAGGGGATGAAAGAGGATGAGATGTTTGGATGGCATCTCTGACTCGAAGGACACGAGTTTGAGTAGACTCCGGGAGTTGGTGATGGACAGGGAGGCCTGGCATGCTGCGGTTCATGGGGTCGCAAAGAGTCAGACATAACTGAGCGACTGAACTGAACGGATGACAATGACCAGTGGGAGCGGACCATTTTTCTTGTTTTAGGCAATCTATTTTTCTTTGACTCTGGGATCTTCAAGGTCTTTCTAATCCCTGGAGCCACACATCTCACCAGAATGTGTGAATGGATATGAAATGTACCATTTTCCCACGAATTCCTTCTTTGTACACTGAAGGGCTGAAAGCTTAAGCCTTTCTCGTCTCAGAGGAAATTTTCTTCCCTTATTTCTTTCATTACATTTCCCCCGTCTCCTCCCTGGACCCCTCTGGAGTGATATTGCTTCTCTTAGATCTACATTGCCCAACTCTCAACTGAACTCTTAATCTCTCTCTCTCTCTCTTTTTAAAAGATTTTCTTTGATGTGGACTGTTTTTAAAGTCTTTATTAAACTTGCTACAACATCGCTTCTTTTTTGTATATTTTGGTTTTTTCGCCACCGGGCATTTGAGAACTTAGCTCCCTGATCAGGGATCAAACCTGCACCCTCTGCATTGGAAGGTGAAGTCTTAACCACCAGACCACCAGGGAAGGCCCCCTAACTCTTATAATTTCCATCTCTCACTTCTCTTTATGCCCCAAGAGACTTTAATGACTTCGCCTCTAACTCACCAGTTTGGATTTCAGCTGTGTTATCCACAGCTTCTTTGGAGCTGCAGTGTTTTAGTGATCATGTTTTTTAATTTCAGTGATCTCTTTCTTGTTCTTTAATCCCCCATTTAAAAAACCAAGCCCAGTTCCTGTTCCACGGACACGATATCCTTTGGAGGCTCTCGGCGGTTGCTAATTAGAAATTTCAAATTCTCCTCTGTTTCCTGCACTAATCCTATTTCATCGAGGATTAGTTGACCACCGGGTCATGCTGGAGATGTGATTTCGAGGCTCTGACTGCCCTGCGAACCACTCTTTCTGTAGATAAGTATATCTTTTATCCGTCTCTGATGAAGTGGCCTGAAGTGGTCCTGGAAGCTGCCACAATGCTTTTCTGTCTGAGCCGGGGGTTGACAACTTTTTCTGTAAATGTTTTCAGCCTTGCGGGCCCTACGGCCTCTGTCACAGCTGCCCAGCTCTGCTGCCGTGGCAGGAAAGCTGCCCTGGATGACGTGCACGCGGGAGTGTGGCGGTGGCAGTGCCTTTACCAAGCCTGCCCGTGCGTGTGACCCGTGGCTCGTGGCGGGGGAGCCGTGGGCCCCTCCCCGGCCACCTGGAATAATTGTTCCCACCTGCCCGTCCTGCCTTTCCAGCCTGGTCTCCCTGACTCGGCCTGTGGCCGAGAGGCCAGCCAGCTGTGCAGCCCTCTGCCTCCCTCTCCCTCACTTCCACGGCTGCTTTCTCTCCCCGTTTGGTCCACCATGTCCTGGGGGCTTGGGGGGTTGGAGGTTGTTGTTCACCTCCAAAGTGTCTGGCTCTTTGCGACCCCATGGACTGCAGCATGCCCGGCTCCCCTGTCCTCCACTATCTCTTGGAGTTTGCTCAAATTCATGTCCATTCAGTTGGTGATTCTATCCAACCATCTCATCCTCTGTAGCCCCCTTCTCCTTTTGTCTTCACATCTTTCCCAGCATCAGGATCTTTTCCAGTGAGTCAGCTCTTCGCATCAGGTGGCCAAAGTATTGGTGTTTCAGCTTCAGCATCAGTCCTTCCAGTGAATATTCAGGGTTGACTTCCTTTAGGATTGACTGGTTTGATCTCCTTGCAGTTCAAGGGAGGCTGACTCACTGGGAAATCAGACCCATTTCTGTGATGTCTGTGCTGCCCGCTCAGACTTCTCTTGTCAACCCATTTTCTGCATCAGTCTGTCTCACACATATTGTGGATTTCAAAAATGTCAGAATTTATGATTTGCTAATAATTCATCTTTTCCTGTTCCTTGGTGCTGCTGTTTATTTTTGTCTTTTTATATCATTTACATGAGATTTGGGGCGGAAAAAGAGCTAAGCCTGTGAGTTCAGATCAGCATCCTGATCTGGAAATCTTCTGGAATTCCTTAAATCCCTATTTTTTCAAAGTAGCTTTACTGAGACATATTGTGCCTGTCGAGTCATTTGCCCTTTTCAAGGGTATAGCTCAATGATTTATTTCACTAAGTTGTGCAACCATTACCATAAATCAGTTTTAGTACATTTTCATCATCCTCTGAAATAATTTTTAATCGTTTATCTTGTGTGTGCGAGTCTTTAGACGTATTAAGGACAGTCTTGTGTTTTGGTTCATCGATGCTGCCCTTGTTTTGGGCAGCTGCTCAGTCCTGTCCGATTCTGTGACCCTGTGGACAGCAGCACGCCAGGCTGCCCTGCCCTCCACCATCTCCCGGAGTTTGCTCAAACCCATGTCCACTGAGTCAGTGATGCCATCCAACCATCTCATCCTCTGCCGTCCCCTTCTCCTCCTGCCTTCAGTCTTTCCCAGCATCAGAGTCTTTTCAAATGAGTCTGCTCTTTGCATCAGGTGGCCAAAGTATTGGAGCTTCAGCTTCAGCATCAGTCCTTCCAATGAACACACAGGACTGATCTCCTCTAGGATGGACTGGTTGGATCTCCTTGCAGTCCTTTTCTAAATCCAACTTGTACATCTGGAAGTTCTCACTTCACATACTGTTGAAGCCTAGCTTGAAGGATTTTGAGCGTTACCCTGTTCACATGTGAAATGGATGCAGCTGTACAGTAGTTTGAACATTCTTTGGCATTGTCCTTCTTTGGGATTGGAATGAAAACTGACCTTTCCCAGTTCTGTGGCCAGTGCTGAGTTTTCAGCATATTGAGTGCAGCACTTTAAGAATACCATCTTTTAGGATTTTAAATAGCTCAGCTAGAATTTATCACCTCCACTAGCTTTGTTCATTTATACTAGTACCACAATATGTTTGTAACTATTGCTCTAAATAAATATTTCAGTATCTGGCAGGGAAAGTTATTCCTTTATTTTCCAAATTTCCTTTAAAATGATCTCCTGAGAATATTTCAGGCTATATTTTACAGCAATGCTGCTGAGTTTTGTTGTTGTTGTTTTAATGAGGACTTTAGTTGGGGCTGGGCCAACTATCTGAATTACTTTGGGAGAATGGACATGCATGTGTGTGAAGTCGTTTCAGTCATGTCTGACTCTGTGACCCTGTGGAGAATAGCCCTCCAGGTGCCTATGTCCATGGGATTCTCCAAGCGAGAATACTGGGGAGGGTGGCCATGCCCTCCTCCAGGGGATCTTCCCAATCCTGGGATCGAACCTGTGTCTCTTAGTCTCTTGCGTTGGCAGGGGGATTCTTTACCACTAGCGCCACCTGGGAATCCTGTCTGGACTTTCCATCAAGATGGTATGCCCTTCCATATACTGATGGAATTATTTTCTCAGTAGGACCTGAGTTTTCTCTTCATTACAAGTACTCTGTGTGTGCGTGTGTGTGTGAGTGTGCATGTGTGTGTGAGTGTGTGCGTGTGTGTGAGTGTGCATGTTAGTGTGCGTGAGTGTGAGTGTGCGAGTGTGTGCGAGTGTGCATGTGTGAGTGTGTGTGAGACTTTGTGAGTGCGTGTATGTATGTGTGTGAGTGTGTGTGTGAGTGTGCGTGTGTGGGTGTGGGTGTGTGACTGTGAATGTGTGTCTGTCTGTGAGTGTGTGTATGTGTGTGTGTGAGTGTGTGTGAGTGTGTGTGCGTGTGTGTGAGAGTGTGTGTGAGTGTGCATGTGTGAGTGTGTGTGTGTGTGAGTGCGTGTATGTATGTGTGTGAGTGTGTGTGAGTGTGCGTGTGTGGGTGTGGGTGTGTGACTGTGAATGTGTGTCTGTCTGTGAGTGTGTGTATGTATGTGTGTGAGTGTGTGTGAGTGTGTGCGTGTGTGTGCATGTGTGACTGTGAGTGTCTGTGAGTGCATGTATGTATGTGTGTGTGTGTGTGTGAGTGTGCGTGTGTGGGTGTGGGTGTGTGACTGTGAATGTGTGTCTGTCTGTGAGTGTGTGTATGTATGTGTGTGAGTGTGTCTGAGTGTGCATGTGTGAGTGTGTGCGTGTGTGTGCATGTGTGACTGTGAGTGTCTGTCTGTGAGTGTGTGTATGTATGTGTGTGTGTGAGTGTGTGTGAGTGTGCATGTGTGAGTGTGTGCGTGTGTGTGCATGTGTGACTGTGTCTGTGAGTGTGTGTATGTATGTGTGTGAGTGTGTGTGAGTGTGCATGTGTGTGTGTGAGAGTGTGTGAGTGCGTGTATGTATGTGTGTGTGTGTGTGAGTGTGCGTGTGTGTGTGTGTGTGTGTGACTGTGAATGTGTGTCTGTCTGTGAGTGTGTGTATGTATGTGTGTGTGTGAGTGTGTGTGAGTGTGCATGTGTGAGTGAGTGTGTGCGTGTGTGTGCATGTGTGACTGTGAGTGTCTGTCTGTGAGTGTGTGTATGTATGTGTGTGAGTGTGTGTGTGTGAGTGTGCATGTGTGTGCGTGTGTGTGTATGCATATGAGAGAGTGTGTGTGAGTGTGTGTGTGTACATATGTGTTAGTCGCTCAGTTGCAACCCCATGGACAGAGGAACCCCCGAGACTCCTCCGTCCATGCCATTTCCCAGGCAAGAGTACTGGAGTGGGTAGCCATTCCCTTCTCCAGAGGATCTTCCCGGCCCAGGAATCGCGCCCGGGCCTCCTGCGCTGCAGGCTGACCCTTTGCCGTCTGAGCCGCCAGACCCAAGTACTGAATATATTTTCATTCCAGCTGTTTCTAGGTGGTACTTTTTTGGTTTTTTATCTGTTGCTATTTTGAGTGGAATCTTTTTTCCTTTTATGGGCACTAACTGGTCATTGCTACTCTATAGGAAAACTAGAGGTTTTAAAATATTCACTTAGAATCTGACTAGTTTGCTAAACTGTCATTAATTGCAGGTTTTTTATGCTTTTCTTTGAAAATCACTTGGGTTTTCTGGGTTTTTCTCTTGGTAAAGTTGAAACTGTTCTCACCTCCTTTCCTTCATTATACCTATTAGTTCTGTTTTATCGAGTGAAAAGAGCAAAGTTTTAGTGGCTCAGTCATGTCTGACTCTTTGTGACCCCATAGACGGAGGACCTCCCCAGGCTCCTCTGTCTATGGAATTCTCCAAGCGAGAATACTGGAGTGGGTAGCCATTCCGTTCTCCAGGGGATCTTCCTGACCCAGGGATAAAACCTGGGTCTCCTGCATTGCAGGCAGATTCTTTCCCATCTGAGCCACCAGGGAACTTCCTGTTTTATCAAAGTATCTGCTACAACTTCAGAAAATGGCAAAATAACAGTGTGAACATGGTTCCCTTGGTTTGCGCCTGCTGTTGGTGGGAATGCGTCTGCACATCCCTCTGAGGCACTGGTCCTCTGGAGAGCCCCTGTTTTCAAAGACACGCTATAGGCTTTGAACAACAGCCTTCCAGGTCGTCTCTGTGTGGGGAGTGGGGCGGGGCAGAAATGCTTCCCTTTGGGACCATCCACGTGACTAGTGTTTGATCTGATGGGGCTCCTATTCTGAAAGTATCGTGACTTGGGATGATTTGAGCTGAGCACCCACTCACTGGGCCATTTGTTGGTATTAATAGTGGTTTTGTTCAGTGGACTGAGATTTCTTCCCTTGCACTGTGGGAAAGAACCCCAAAGAAGATCCCAAAGACCGTGGGCGTCCTCAGCCCTCCTCGTGGCTAAGACGTCACCTCGGACTCCGTCGGGACAGGACCCCTTGGCCTGCCCCGAAGCCCTCTCTCCCTGCGTCCCGCTCCCGTGTCTCCGTCACCCTCCTGGCAGGACGCTGTGCAGGTGCGCCTCCGTCTACCTGGACGTCGCGTTGGAGCCTCTCAAGCCCGTCCTCCCCAGCTCAGGCATCTCCTCCTCTGGCAGCCCGTGCCGGCCCTCAGCAGGTCGGAGTTGGCCCCAGAGCACCCGTGTCCCGGGGACAAAGCCCCAAGGAGGAACGGGACGTGGCGCGTCCAGTAACAGCTGAGGTTGTTCTGTGGTTCCCTCGCTGTCCTGCTGTTTACGGTTACATGTTGTTCCAAGACCAGCCAGCGCACTTTGTCTTTAATGGTCAGTAGCTATTTATCTGACACTGGAGGGAAATCTGTTATTTGAAACCATCTGAACCTGGAATGATTTGGGGGATCCTATATTAAATTTTAACATTTCCTTGCACTGTTATTCTTCATTGCAATCGACTAGAATTTTTATAATTTATATTTACCCAGGAAAATGTCCCATTTCGTGGGGAGCTCAGAATTCTTTAACATAAATATTTGCACAATTGGCCTCCTGTAGCCACAGTCAGCAGCCATAGTTTCAACCAGCTTCAGATGAGAAGTATTTGGAAAAAAAATCCAGAAAGTTCCAAAAAGCATAACTTGGATTTACGCAGTCACCAACGATATGCATAGCCTTTAATGAATTAGGTGTTACTAGTTATCTAGAGATGATTTAAAGCATGAAAAGATAAAGTCTACAAAAGATGTACGTAGGTTATGTGCAAATACCACACCATTCTGTACAAGGGACTCGAGTGTCTGCGTATTTTGGTGTCTGGTGGGGGTGCTCCTAGAACGCATCCCCTGTGGATACCAAGGGACAACTGTATAGTATTCTTGTAATTTATGCATTTTGTTTGTTTTCTTTCTTACTTTTAGAATTATATTTTCCAGAGATTTATCTGTTTTCTCACACAAAACAATAGAAGTCATCATAATAATTTTTTTTTCATATTAGTAATTTATTGGACCTTTCCCCTGCTTTTTAAATTCAGTAATCTTTGTTTTTTTCATCCTTGATTTTTCTTGGATTTGTCTTGTTTTCTCTCTAATTTCTGATTACGTGGTGGTACCTTAATTGGCTTACTGGTCCTGGGTGAGCTTTTCCTGGTGGCTCAGTGGTAAAGAATCTGCCTGCAATGCGGGAGACCCAGGTTTGGTCCCTGGGTTGGGAAGATCCCCTGGAGGAGGGAATGGCTACCCACTCCAGCATTCGTGCCTGGAGAATCCCACGGACAGAGGAGCCTGGTGGGCTACAGTCCCTGGGGCTGCAGAGAGTCAGACAGGACTCAGCGGCTTACACTTCTTCACTTCACTCCTGGGTAAATGACACTCGGGTTGCTTCCAGTCTTCCACGATTTCAAACAGTGAAATGTGTTCTACGTGCATCTCACACATGAGAGCATGTTCAGAGTAGAATTGCTGTTTAGAAGCTGTTTACTTCCTAACTTTAATAGATTAATTTCTCTTCATGGGATTGGTGCCCATTTACGTGTCCATCAGCAATATATTTACTTCAGTTAGGTAGCAGGCTCTTGACAAATTTTAACTCAGTTAGTCCTCAGAACAACCCCACCTGATAGATGAGGAAGTGGAGTCTTAGCAAGATTAAGAAACTTTCTCAAGTGTATTAAGCGGTGAAAGGGAGATTCAGACCTAGACGTTCTGGCCCCAGAGTTCATGCTCTTAACCAGCACACTGAGCTGCCTATGTTCGAACACCCTTACCATCAGAGTTGACAGATGTTTTGAAGTCTCTTTTTTGGTTTTAATTTGGGTTTCCTGACTATCAGTAAAGCTGAGCATTTCTTCAAGTGTTTGAGGCATATGCTTTTCCCTTTTTGTGAACTGTTTATTCATAACTCATCTAATTTTTTCCCCCCATCTGGGCTGTCTATCTTCTTACTGATTTACAGAAGCACTTTACATATTAAAGTAACTAGTTCCTTCTGTGATGTTCCTACTCTTTTACATGTGTTTTGGTTTTTATAGCACATTATTTACAAACCTTGTGCAGACAACATTTTCAAATATTTCCCCTGTGTGTACATATACCTGTTTTAACATACTCAGAAGGTGTGACCAACCTGAGATTTAGATAGTTCTCTTATCTAGCACTTTTATAGTTCTGTTCTTCATGTTAAATCTTTGATGTATCTGGAACTATTTTTCTGTAAGATGTAAGGTAGTCTGTTTCCTCTGTTAGAGTTCCCTCTATATCATGTCGTCAGTTCCCACATGTATTGGAGACTGCCTTTTTCCCTTGTTGATCTGTGTCTGAATGCATCTGCACCACAATTGAAAAGCATTATCGTTTTAATGTATCTTACTCTCTGGGAAGTCTACTCAGCCACTCACTCCTCTTTTTCCTGAGAAGTTTGGAATCAGTTTGTCTAGTTCCTCAAAACACCCAGCTGATATTTTTCACGAGGTTGATTGACATGTCCATGTCTAACCTTCATATTTGAAAGCATGGTATGCATGTATGTATACTTAAGTCATCTTTTGTGTTTGGCCCTATTTTATAGTTTTCTCTTTTTTAGTAGAGCTGGCACATTTCTTAAGTTTATTTCTAGGTATTTTAATCTTCTTTTCATTATAGCTTCCAATGACTTTTGTTGTAATATGTAAAGGCTATTGACTTCTATATATGAATTTTATGTCAACATCTTTGGTGAATTCTGTTGTTATTTGTAATCATTTTCCAATTTATTTTCTTGGAGTTTCCAGATATATAATCCTATCATCTGCAAACAATAATAATTTTATCTGTTCTAAATTTTTATGTATCTTATGTCTTTCTCTTGTTTGTCTTGTTAAGTAGCTCTAGCATAATATTAGTAATAGTGGCAGTAGTGGATATCTTTGTCTTGTCTAAACTTTGATGGGAGAATATAAGTATTTTCCTATTAGACATAATGTTGAACTTTGAGATGAGATAAATGTATTTTATCACATTAAATATTATTCCAGTCACTTTTCAGAAGTTTTAAAAAGTAAGGATGAAATGCAAATGAAAACCACAATGAGGTACCTTACACGCCAGTCAGAATGGCTGCTATCCAAAAGTCTACAAGCAATAAATGCTGGAGAGGGTGTGGAGAAAAGGGAACCCTCTTACACTGTTGGTGGGAATGCAAACTGGTACAGCCGCTATGGAGAACAGTGTGGAGATTTCTTAAAAAACTGGAAATAGAACTGCCATATGACCCGGCAGTCCCACTCCTGGGCATACACACCGAGGAAACCAGATCTGAAAGAGACACGTGCACCCCAATGTTCATCGCAGCACTGTTTATAACAGCCAGGACATGGAAGCAACCTAGATGCCCATCAGCAGACGAATGGATGAGGAAGCTGTGGTACATATACACCATGGAATATTACTCAGCCATTAAAAAGAATTCATTTGAATCAGTTCTAATGAGATGGATGAAACTGGAGCCTACTATACAGAGTGAAGTAAGCCAGAAAGATAAAGACCATTACAGTATACTAATGCATATATATGGAATTTAGAAAGATGGTAACGATAACCCTATATGCAAAACAGAAAAAGAGACACAGATGTACAGAACAGAATTTTGGACTCTGTGGGAGAAGGCGAGGGTGGGATGTTTCAAGAGAACAGCATCGAAACATGTATATTATCTAGGGTGAAACAGATCACCAGCCCAGGTTGGATGCATGAGACAAGTGCTCGGGGCTGGTGCACTGGGAAGACCCAGAGGGATCGGGTGGAGAGGGAGGTGGGAGGGGGGATCAGGATGGGGAATACATGTAAATCCATGGCTGATTCATGTCAATGTATGGCAAAAACCACTACAATATTGTAAAGTAATTAGCCTCCAACTAATAAAAATAAATGAAAAAAAAAGTAAGGTTGTTGAGCTTTATCATAGCTTAGAGATGATCATATGACTTGTGTTTGATCTGGTACTATGATGAATTATGGGCTTTCCTGGTGGCTCAGCTGGTAAAGAATCTGCCTGCAGTGCAGGACACCGGGGTTCGATCCCTGGGTCGGGAAGATCCCCTGGAGAAGAGCATGGCCACCCACTCCAGTACTGACGCCTGGAGATTCCCATGGACACAGGAGCCTGGCGGGGTACGGTCCACAGGGTCACAGAGAGTCGGACACGATGAAGTGACTGGTCACGTAGCACACGCACTGACAGACACCTGTAGGCGGACCGGCCCTTCACGAAGCTAATTCCGCTCTGACGCCGTGTGGGTCACCCTCTGCACCTGCATTCCCCTCCTACACTCCCCTGTGGCATCCTGCATTTCAGAAAGAAGGCCGGGGACCGCTAACTTCAGTGACATCAGATGCGGTTGCTGAGTTGCCTGATGCCAGCTGTGGCTGTTTGAAACTTTGCAGAAGGAAAAAAAAAAAAAGCAAGACCTTCAGGAGGATATATAACCTCTCCCTATCCCTGAGAGAAGGGGCACATTTCCTGAGGCGCCAGCCTGGTCTATTTCCCTTTTGCATGGCAAAAATAATAAAGCTATTCTTTTTTATTTCCTCCAAACTCCGTCTCCATGTTTCTATTTGGCGTCGGTGGACAGGGAGCCAGAATTCTGGCAACATGCCTCCCTCCCTCACTGCCTCCCTCCCTGGAAACCACAGATCTGTTCTTTGTGGCTGTGAGTCTGTTTCTGCTTTGTGGCATAGTTCATTGGTGTCATGGTGTATATTCCACATGTAAGTGACATTACATCGTCTTTATTTTTCTCTTTTTGACTTACTTCACTTAGGATGATAATTGCTAGGTCCATCCATGTAGCTGAAAATGGCACTATTTCATTTTTATGGCTAGTATTCTGTTGTATATGAATGCCACGTCTTCATTCATTCACCTATCAGACATTTGGGTGCTTCTTTGCCTTGGCTGCTGTAAATAGTGTTGCTATGCGTATTGGGGTGCATGTATGTTTTCATTTTTAAGAAGTTATTTGTTTTTAATTGGAGGATAGTTGCTTTACAACATTGTGTTGGTTTCTGCAACACATCAGCGTGGATCAGCCGACCGTACACTTACGTCCCCTCCCTCCTGCCCCCCCATCCCACCCCTCCAGGTTGTCACGGAGCACTGGCTTTGAGCTCTCTGCATTCCCGCTGGTTATCTGTTTTACATACGCTAATGTATATGTTTCCATGCTTCTCCCTCAGTTTGTCCCACCCTCTCCTTCCCCAACT